AAAAACGTGCACTACAGAGTTCCTGTCCAACGTGATGTTTTTGTGACTCTGATTTTATTGGGAGGACTGAAGAGTCCTGCTGGGTTATTGAGTTTGTGCAGTGTGTGCTGGCCCAGAGAGACTTTGGCAGAGGCTGTGCAGGAGAGCATTGTTGTGGGGAAGCCTTTGGTGCAGCAGGTTTGTGTGTAATGTCCTGGAATGGTCCCAACCCTGTGCAGTCTGTGTGTTAGTGGTTGTGATAGATTTGTTAAGAAAGGTCTTATAGCCATTTTCACCAACCCCAATGGCCTGTTGAATCCTGGCTTGTACTCAGTGAGTTTGGCAGACCAATAAAACAGAAAAGAAGATGAGTCACGACAGACTGTGATGCAGGAGAAGTTTATTGAGACAACAGAGAGAAAAGGAACAAGCAGCCAGGGGAAGGGATCTGGTCTGACGGGCCAGGAGGGCGACCATCAGCCTAGGTCCTTCCCTTGCAGGAGATTTCTCCAGAGCCCCCAGGTCTTCCTGCTGCCCTTGTTGGGAGCAGCCCAGCGGAGGTGGCCGATGGTGTGTGTGTTGTGAGAAGGTGTTTGCAGCGGAGGGGACTGGGCAGAACCCAAGGGGTGCTGGAGAGAAGGAAGGGGGAAAAGAGGAGGAGGGAGCCGGGCCATGTTTGCAGCAGGGCAGGCTGGCTCCTTCCCTGCTTCCTTGCTGGGAGCCCTGAGAGCAGGAGCTGGAAGTGCTGAGGCCATGGGAGAGCCTTGGGCTGGAGAGGAATCCCTGTTGCAGGTGGAGGATTGCAGGTGGTGGGTGGTTGATGTTGGGGCAGTTGTTTGGGGGCTCAGCAGGTGGAGCAGCCCCTGGTGCCGTAGCAGCCCAGGCCTCCCAGGCCGTAGCCAAAGGCATGGGCAGAGCCGAGGCCGTAGCCAAAGGCCCCAAAGGCGCCGGAGATGGGCTGTCCCTGGGCATTGAGCTCCGTGCCCAGGGCAGCCCCTGCGCTGGATCCGACGGCGGAGCTCTGGGGGAAGGAGGTCATGATGGGCCCTGGCAGGGTGACACGCACGGGGGAGGGCTGGATGAGGACGGTGGAGTCCTGGCACTGGGTGACACAGGGCTGGTTGCAGCTGTTGGCCAGCGGGGTGGGTGCGCAGGGGCGGCAGAGGTCGTAGCAGGCCATGGGTGTGGTGTGGAGGGGCCCTGTGAGGGCAGGGAAGAGAAGAGAAGGGAAGGGCAGAGAAGGGCAGAGC